AAAGTGCTGGGATTACAGGCTTGAGCCACCGCGCCCGGCTTTTTGTAGTTTTAGTAGAGACGGGGTTTCACCGTGTTGACCGGGATGGTCTTGATCTCTTGACCTCGTGATCCACCCGCCTCGGCCTCCCACAGTGCTGGGATTACAGGCTTGAGCCACCGCGCCCGGCCTCCCTTCCATCTTTTAATGGAACATGATAAAACTTAACATGTTCCGTTAAAAGATAAATGCTTAAAGAATGCATCCCTGGCCTGGCGCGGTGGCTCATGCCTGTAATCCCAGCACTTTTGGAGGCCAAGGGGGGCGGATCACGAGGTCAGGAGTTCAAGACCAGTCTGACCAACATGGTGAAATCTTGTCTCTACTAAAAACACAAAAATTAGCTGGACGTGGTCGCATGCACCTGTAATCCCAGCTACTCAGGGGGCTGAGGCAGGAGAATCACTTGAACCGGGGAGGCAGAGGTTGTGGTGAGCCGAGATTGTGCCACTGAACTCTAGCCTGGGTGACAGAGTGAAACTGTCTCAAAAACAAAAAAAGAAAGAATGCAACCCTCTATTCCATAGCAGATGTAGATGGTAAATTTGGAGCTGAGATGGATAAATTGGTAACTGGCATATTTCATGCTTTGTCTACTCGGCATCCACATGTGCCCATCTGCATACACTTGAATTATCTTATAATAATTAGGTCTGCATTTCCACCTAACAATTGAAGGCAGGAATTTCTCACCCTTAAGTGAGAAGGTACACAGCCTCTCATCACAGGCCATATTAATTTCTTTTTTTTTTTCACTTTATCCTCCACGCTGGAGTGAAGTGGTGCTACTTTGGCTCACTGCAACCTCCGCCAACCGCTGTCTCCCAAGTTCAAGCAATTCTCCTGCCTCAGCTTCTTGAGTAGCTGGGATTACAGGTGTGTACCACCACACCCAGCTAACTTTTGTATTTTAAGTAGAGACAGGGTTTCACCATGTTGGCCAGGCTGGTCTTGAACTCCTGACCTCAGGTGATCCACCCACCTTGGCCTCCCAAAGTGCTGGGATTACCGTTGTGAACCACGACACCTGAGGCCATATTAGTTTCTACTGAAATTTAGTGATATTTTCACTGAATATTCTGTTACCTGAAGACTAAATTATAAATTTAAACTCTAGTAACTATATACAAGATAGAAATAGAGATAAAAGTAAATGGTTGGTTTATATAAATACATGCTTAGAAACTAACACGTATACATAACAATCAGAGAGAAAACCTGGGGCTGGGTGCAGTGGTTTACACCTGTAATCCCAGCACTTTGGAGGCTGAGGCATGTGGATCACTTGAGGTCAGAAGTTTGAGACAAGTCTGGTGAAAGAGAATACAAAAATTAGCTAGATGTGGTGGCGGGCGCCTGTAATCCCAGCTACTCAGGAGGCTGAGGCAGGAGAATTGCTTGAACCTGGAAGATGGAGGTTGCAGTGAGCTGAGATTGCACCACTGCCTTTTCTCTTTCTGTTTTTTTTTTTTAGAGCCGGAGTTTCACCATGTTGGTAAGGCTGGTCTCAAACTCCTGACCTGGTGATCCGCCCACCTCAGCCTCCCAAAGTGCTGGGATTACAAACGTGAGCTACCATGCCTGGCCCAGTAGTGCCTTTTTTCTATTTTAATTTTTTGTTAACCTTTCTAAGTGGCATGGGAGTGCTAGGAGGTTCTAGACAACATCCTTTTTGCCTCAGTTGTATAGCAATACCCTAGTTTCCCTTTAGTAATTGGGATTAATCCCTTCAATTAGTAGATTGTTCCCTCTCACCTTCTTATTTTATTTTATTTTTTTTTTGAGACGGAGTTTCGCTCTTGTTACCCAGGCTGGAGTGCAATGGCGCGATCTCGGCTCACCGCAACCTCCGCCTCCTGGGTTCAGGCAATTCTCCTGCCTCAGCCTCCCGAGTAGCTGGGATTACAGGCGCGCGCCACCACGCCCAGCTAATTTTTTGTATTTTTAGTAGAGACGGGGTTTCACCATGTTGACCAGGATGGTCTCGATCTCTTGACCTCGTGATCCACCCGCCTCGGCCTCCCAAAGTGCTGGGATTACAGGCGTGAGCCACCGCGCCCGGCCCCTTCTTATTTTTTTTTTTTCCTCTTGGTTTAGTGGATATGAAACTCATAATGGCCAGGTGTTAATCTCACTTTCCAATGTATTGGGACCAAATAGTTGCCGGTGGGGAAGCATTCTTCATTATGGACTCAGATCTCCAAACTTGCAGTGCTCTGCATTGCTAGGATTGGAAGCAAAAATTCTGTTGTGGAGCTAATTCTGCCTTCACCCATCAATTCCTGGGCCTGCACGTTCTGATTATAGTGAGATAGTAGCATGTAATGATCTCTGTTTCAGTGCATGCTCTGTGAAACAGAATCCCATTCTTTCAGAGGGTGTCTCCCAGTTGGCCCTGTATCTGAATTTTCAGTAAGCCATTTCTTCTTTCATTTAGATCAGCTGCTTCTGAGTGATGGGTTGTGTGATGAGACCAGTTCTCACTGTTGCACTACCTTTGCAGTGAAATGGGTTCCTTGATGAAAGACTGTGTTGTGTGAATGCTGTGACTACAGTGAAAGCATTCTGTGAGTGCATGGATGGTGCATTGTATAAGCAGAAGCCTAGTGGATTTGCCCTTCCCTATACAAATCTGCCTCTATACGAATCCTATATGGATTTGCCTCTCTACTGGTTAGGCAGTTAGGCAGAAGCATAACTAGTAGAGAGGCAAATCCATATCCAGAACATGAGTCTATTCCAGTGAGGATGAGTCTTAGTCACCTTCATGGTAGGAGTGGTGCAATGTAATCGTCTTGCCACCAGGTGGCTCCCCTGGTTACTCTAGAAATTAATGCCCTTGGTTCAAGACCAGCCTGGGCAACATGGTGAAACCCCATCTCTATAAAACAAAAAATCAAACCCTGCCCCCCAGAAATCCCCAAAATTAGTCAGGCTTGGTGGTATACGTCTGTAGTCCCTGCTACTCGGGAGCATGAGGCAGAAGGATTGCTTGAGCCCAGGAGGTCGAGGTTGTAGTGAGCCATGATCGTGCCACTGCACTCCAGCCTGGGTGACAGAGTGAGACCCTGTCCCCCCACCACCACCAAGAAAAGAAAAGAAAAAAGAAATTAATGCCCTTAAGTATTCAGTGTTGGTTTTTGCTTTTAGCAGATTAGGCACCTAGCAGTAGTGTTAGCTACATCAGCTTTGGTAAATGGAAGTCCATACTGTTGAGCCGTAAGTAGCCTTTATCACTGTTTTTATGGCCATCTTATTCAAGGGCTTATGAGCAAGCATTGAGGTGGCTGGGGAAAGCAATTGACTTCTATATAGAGTATCATTTTGTCCATCTGATTATTAAAAGTCTCATTTCTAGTGGATTACCTTTGCTGGTCATTTACATGAGACACAAATATCTTCACAGTCCCTGTCATTTAAGAGAGATCTATCCATATATATTTTTCTAGTCTTACTAGTCTTGTTTCGTATACATCCTTGATCATTTGGTGAAACCATTAGCAACTGCTCATGGATCATTGTTTACTTGTCCTTCTGGCCATGTTCTGCAGATCCAGAGAATAGTCAAATATACTGTGAGAAGTTCTGCCACTGGGATGAGATTCTTAGCTGAGCTGTTGTGTTTCTTCTCCCACTTTTGGGTGGTGCTAGCATATTGTGCAGACACATCTGTAAACAGGCTTTGTCTTGGATAGACATAAGAAATACCTCAGGAAGCCACAGGTGTGGATTGAGGGAAAGGAGGTAGCGTGAATGGAGCTTGTGTTGAGTCTTTGCCATTTGCTCATGCAGTTTACTGCGGAACTTCTAGAGCTCAATGTCTTCTGTGCCATTTCCATTTCATGACAGATTGCTGCTGCATTTCCCCCCACCGAACCTGGGGTTTTGTGGGTCAGACAACCTCAAGTTCATGGTAGGAAGCTCAGGCCACTTGATCATTTGATGTCCCATGTACAACTTCTGTGTTGTGCCCAGTGGTAACTGTTTACTCAAAAGGAGACTAGTTACCTGCAGAAGAGGGAATATACTTATTCTGAACTACTGCTATGATTTTCCTACTGGCACTTGCTAGAGACTTCCAGCAACAGCTTATTTATTATAGATACTTTGAGCATTGCTGTATCTGCTGGATTATTTCCACCATATCCTTAAAAATCTTGTACTGCAGCCTGAGCTTGGTGCACTACAATCACTTGGTGTTCACGCACTTTTTGTTTGTTTGTTTTTGCTTTTGAGATGGAGTCTTGCTCTGTCACCCAGACTGGAGTGAAGTGGCATGATCTTGGTTCACAGTAGCCTCTGCCCCCTGGGCTCAAGTGATTCTCTTGCCTCAGCCTCCCCAGTAGCTGGGACTACAGGCGTGCACCACCATTCCTAGCTAATTTTTGTAGTTTTACTAGAGACAGGGTTTCACCTTGTTGGCCAGGATGGTCTGGATCTCTTGACCTTGTGATCCGCCTGCCTCAGCCTCCCAGAGTGCTGGGATTACAGGCGTGAGCCACCATGCGTGGCCTTCACTTGTAAGCATTATAACCAACTCTGTAGATGGGTTAAAGCACACTGAAATGTGGTATATGTTGTCTAAAGAACCTTATAGATCTGCCAAGTGTTGCACCTAATTTTTGGAAGCACTGACTAAGAGGGACACCTTGAAGGGGATAATCTTGTTATGGTCTAGACCACTGAACCCCCAAATTTGTATTGATTGGGTGGCTCAGGCCTGTAACCTTAACACTTTGGGAGGCCGAGGCAGGAAGATTGCTTGAGGCCAGGAGTTCGAGATCAGCCTGACCAACATAGTAAAATCCATCTCTAGCAAAAAAGAGATTAAAAAAAAAAAATTAGCCTGGCATGGTAATGTGCACCTGTAGTCCCAGATGCTTGGTAGGGTGAGGCAGGAGGATCACTTGAATCTAGGAGGCAGAGGTTGTGGTGAGCCGTGATCACGCCACTGTACTCCATCCTAGGCAACAGCAAGACCCTGCCTCAAAAAATCAAAACAAAACCAAACTTGTTGATTTAGCTGGCTCCTGAATCTCCCATCTTCTACTTTGTAGGCTGTAAAGGTGTCCAAACTATTTACAGTTTAATGTTCATGGGATCCAGTGTGGAAAATATTATCAATGTGATGGACTGTTGGATTGTTTTCTGTAATATCAAAACCTCTGACGACTCTATTTTGATAGAAAACAGGAGAATTGATATGATAGTCCACAGCAATTCTTCAGAGTCCATGTGACTTCTGCACAGTCCTGAGTGGTGTATTACCTAGGTCTGGTGATTAGGTGAGAGACTGTGAATCTGCCCTGTGGTAACTCTTATCAGGTTTTTGGCCACGAAACTTGAGACTTCTTGTTACATAGATCAAGCAATATTCCAAGACTCAGATTGGCAAACAGTGGCTTATGGGACACATCTAGTCTTAAACCTGTTTTTGTAAATTAGAATTGGAGCAGAACAACCATGTTCATGTGTTTACATATTATCTGAAAATTTTTTCGTGCTGCAAAAGCAGAGTTGAATATTTGCAACAGACTGTGTGGCCCACAAAGTATAACATTTACTATATGTCCCATTACAACAAGATTTATTAATCCCTGTTGTAGTAGGCTGCTTATCTATTTCATCCTAGGGATGAAATGTGATCAGTTTGCTAACACTAATGATGTCTGTAGGCCAAAGCATTCCAATTGTTGGTACATTCATTGTGCCCTTGACTCTTGATGTAGCCTCATTGTCTTTGATAGTTAAGTGCTACCCACTTGATTTTTGGCACTCAAGGTTCTCATCATCCCTGTTGAAACAGAGAACTCCTCTCAATGATTGTATCTCCTATAGTCTTAACAAATGTATAAAAGAGAATAAACAGAACTTTTCAAGGATGGAGGTACTCCCTTCAGTTAACTATTTCTGAATGCCTTCATGAAGAAGGTGTGTTTTGGGCCCTCAATGTAGTTGAAGAAGTGGAGCTGTGCAGATCACATGTGATAAATCTAGTGTAACGTTCCTGTGTGTCTAGGATTCTCTCCTTTACATTAGCCAGGGAAGCTCTTGCATATTAACCCTATTAACTGTAGGTCATGAGTACAAGTTTCAGGCATCCAACCAATTTAGCTGTTAGAATCATACCGTGGTCTATTAACTAATATATAAAATCCAAAATGTCTAGTAAGTACCTGTATTACACTCTTCTTGCATTGCTATAAAGAAATACCTGAGACTGGGTAATTTATAAAGAGGTTTAGTTGTCTCACAGTTCTGCAGGCTGTACAGGAAGCATAGTGACTTCTGCTTCTGGGGAGGCCCCTGGAAGCTTCCAATCATGGCAGAAGATGAAGCAGGAGTAGGTACATCTTACGTGGTGGGAGCCAGGAGCAAGAGAAAATGAGGGAGAGGTGCTATACACTTTTAAATGACCAGTTCTCATGAGAACTCACTCATTATCATGAGGATAGTACCAAAGAGGATGGTGCTAAACCATTCATGAGAAATCTGCCCCCATGATCCAATCATCTCCCACCAGGCCCCACCTCTAGCACTGGGGACTACAGTTTGACATGAGATTTGGTGGGGACACAGATCCAAATCATACCAGTGCCCATATCAATGAATTTGGGCCTATCTAGTGTTACATTTTAACCTTCTTGATCTAATTTCCTTAGAATCCATCCCTTACATGTTCCTGGGTTTCTTCTGATGCATGTTATCAGAGTTGAAATTATTTTGTTGTGTGAGCTTTTTTCTCTTGTATTATGTTGCATTTCTTTGCCCCTGGATTTTGGACTAGTTATGACTCCAGTGACAGCAATAAGTGGTTTGGTGTGGTTTGGTGTGGGTCTTGAGGAGAATATATATTATCTTCCAAGGTATCTGGACCAAGTGAGATTGTCACACAGATTTCAAGATGAAGGCTTTCTCCTCAGAAACCAAAGGCTCAAAGTGTCTTAGGTTGTGGTTAGTCTCTTTATTGTTGCTATGATATAATACTTGAGTAATTTATGAAGAAAAGAGGTTTCTTTGGCTCAGGATTCTGGTGGCTGGAAAGTCCAAGAGCATGGCCCCAGCATCTGCTCTGCTTCTTTTTTTTTATTGCTTTGCTTCTTGTTAGGCTCACATGCTGCGACAAAACATGGTAGAGAGCCAGATGGGGAAGCAGGCTTGTGCAGAAGGGACCAAACACAAACAGCAGCCTTGCTTTATAATGACTAGGTCTTGTGGGAACTAATCCAGTTCTGTGAGAGCTAAAATTCACTTCTGCCTGACAGCATTAATCTATTCATGTGGGATCTGCCCCCATAACCCAAACATCTCTTGTTAGGCCCCTCCTCCCATTGCTGTGATATTGAGGACCAAGCCTCAACAGGAATTTTGATGGGAACAGACCACATCCAAATCATAGCAGGGGTTTAAGATCATGACTTTCATCTGGGTCCAACCGAATGTCTCCATTCCAGGTTCCATATTGTCATTATTCCCTGATTACACTGTACGTTTTAAAAAATTTAGTTTCTTTTTTTTTTTTTTTTGAGACAGAGTTTCGCTCTTGTTACCCAGGCTGGAGTGCAATGGCACGATCTTGGCTCACCGCAACCTCCGCCTCCTGGGTTCAGGCAATTCTCCTGCCTCAGCCTCCCGAGTAGCCAGGACTACAGGCACGTGCCACCATGCCCAGCTAATTTTTTGTATTTTTAGTAGAGACGGGGTTTCACCATGTTGACCAGGATGGTCTCGATCTCTTGACCTCATGATCCACCTGCCTCGGCCTCCCAAAGTGCTGGGATTACAGGCGTGAGCCACCGCGCCCGGCCAAAAATTTAGTTTCTTGATGCCTCAGCATTCTAACAGTCTGTGAGCTCCCTGCTCAAGTGACAAGTGTGATAAGGCGGGTCCCTGCTACAAGTTCTTCTGTTGGCCCTCCCCTGACCGTGACTTAGTAACATTCAAATGCAACAATGAAATCACATGCCTTTTGCTTTAGTACTATACCTCAAGCCCCAATAAAGGCAATTGCCCTTAAGGGAGGCCTCTCTCAACTTCCTAACTGCTTGTCAGAGCCTCCTGCTTTGGTCTGCCTCCAGCATGGCCCCCTGAAGGCATGGCATGTCTCCCTCCCTAGAATCTATGAGTGTCATAAATCCTTTAATTTATTTATTTATTTATTTATTTTTTATTTTTATTTTTTGAGACGGAGTTTCACTCATGTTACCCAGGCTAGAGTGCAATGGCGCAATCTCGGCTCACCGCAATCTCCGCCTCCTGGGTTCAGGCAATTCTCCTGCCTCAGCCTCCTGAGTAGCTGGGATTACAGGCACGCACCACCATGCCCAGCTAATTTTTTGTATTTTTAGTAGAGACGGGGTTTCACCATGTTGACCAGGATGGTCTCGATCTCTTGACCTTGTGATCCACCCGCCTCGGCCTCCCAAAGTGCTGGGATTACAGGCTTGAGCCACCGCGCCTGGCCTCCTTTAATTTATTGAATCTCTCCAATTGTAATTGCAGGAGGATGTTGGAGGGATGCTGAAAGATCCCACAAGAGGGACTTAACTGCCTCATTTACAACACAGTTGGTGAAAAGGGTGAGATCATTTTGAACTGGGGTGGAAAGTCTCTTATAAGTGCCATTTGACTTCGTGGTTTGCTGGTTGGCTTTGCCATTTGGGAAGGCTGCCTGTTTTGTTGGAGTTTATGTGTATTGCTACGCTGTGCTTTGTGTTGCCCCTTCCAAGTGTTGGCCAAGAGTCTTTGTCATAAAGTTTGGATCTTGTGCTAGTGCCAGTAATGCACCTCAGGATACTGCTTACCAGCCATGATCCCAGGAAGAGGGGTAATTATCCTGTTCTCCAGGATCTGGGGTCATTTGTTCATGCGAAGTTGGCACTACTTAGTGCACATACAAGTGACTGTGATTTGAAGAAGGGACCCTGGCAATAGAATTGGGCTCCTCTTTTGTATATTTGCACCAACTACACCTTGCGAGGTGCCTCCTATGTTGCGATGCCATTCCGGTTTAGTGCTGATGCTCCCTGCCCTTGCCAACTCCATGGAGAATGGTAGCTCAATGTTTTTTTAAAAAATGAATGGAAGGAGTACTTGATCCTTCCCGTGCTAAGATACTTGAACATTTTTCTCAACTCACTTGAGGTTACAAATCTTGGGACTGAGCGTGGTGGTTCATGTCTGTAATGCCAGTACTTTGGGAGATCAAAGTATCTGCTAAAAATACAAAAATTAGCTGGGTGTGGTAGTGTGCACCTGTCATCCCAGCTACTAGGGAGATACAAGAATCACTTGAACCTGGCTGTGGAGGAAGCAGTGAGCTGAGATTGCACCATTGTACTTCAGTCTGGGTGACAGAGCGAGACTGTCTCAACAACACAAAAATATTTTTGGTTAATGTTTTAACACTTTTTTTCCTTGCTCTGTCACCCAGGCTGGAGTGCAGTGGCACGATCTTGGCTCACTGCAGCCTCCACCTCCTGGGTTCAACTGATTTTCCTGCCTCAGGCTCCTGAGTAGCTGGGACCATAGGTGCCCACCGTGATGCCCAGGTAATTTTTTGTACTTTAGTAGAGACAGGGTTTCACCATGTTGGCCAGGATGGTCTCAATCTCCTGACCTCATGATCTGTCCACCTCAGACTCTGTGCTGGGATTACAGGTGTGAGTCGCTGTGCCCGGTCTGATCATAGGATTTTTATACTTTATTATGTTAATGTGGTGTTAATCACGTTGATTGGTTTGCACATGTTGAACCATCCATGCATTCCAGGGATAAATCCCACTTGATTATTATGAATGATACGTTTAATGTACCTTTTTTTTTTTTTTTTTTTTTTTAATGAGAGAGAGTCTTCTTTGTTGCCCAGACTGGAGTGCAGTGGAATTTCAGCTCACTGCAACTCTACCTCCCAGGTTCAAGCATTTCTCCTGTCTCAGCCTCCCAAGTAGCTGGGACTACAGGCCCTCGCCACCACTCCTGGGTAATTTTTGTATTTTTAATAAAGACGAGGTTTCACCATGTTGGCCAGGCTGGTCTTGAACTCCTGACATTGTTATCCCCCTGCCTCGGCCTCCCAAAGTGCTGGGATTACAGGCATGAGCCACTGTACCCAGCCTGATGTACTGTTGAATTCAGTTTGCTAATATTTTGTTGAGGATTTTTGCATCTGTGTACATTAAGGATATTCGCCTATACGTTTCTTTCTTTGTAGCATCTTCAGTTTTTTGGAATAATTTCAGAAGGATTGGTTTAGATACTATTTTTTATTTTCTGTTTTTTTGAGACAGAGTCTTGCTTTGTTGCCAGGCTCCAGGCTGGAGTGCAGTGGCGCAATCTCTGCTCACTGCAACCTCCGCCTCCTGGGTTCAAGCAATTCTTCTGCCTCAGCCTCCTGAGTAGCTGGGACCACAGGCACGCGCCACCACACCCAGCTAATTTTTGTGTTTTTTAGTAGAGACGGGGTTTCACCATGATCTCGATCTCTTGACCTTGTGATCCACCCACCTCGGCCTCCCAAAGTGCTGGGATTACAGGTGTGAGCCACC